ACTCAAACTCACACCTAATACGAGTTCGTGACCATTCAGGTATTGCGGTCATGCAATGCAAATAACAGATGTCTCTGACAAATTCAACCCCATCATGAATATTTATATATTTTTTCTTAATTAGCTTTTTATCCTTTCATTAGATCAATGGATCCGAAACTGATACTCATATCCCCTGAAGGTAAGAGAAATTACACCAGTGGGCTAAGATCATAGAAGCTGAGAAATCAGCATATCAGCAGAACGAATATATAGTGTTACGAATTTTGTGTAAATAGTGTAAATAATTTGTATTTGGGTGTTTAATGCATTTATATTACTCTATGTTAAATTTATTTCATGTTAAAATTGTACTATTCACAAGCAATGCCACCCCTTACGTTATAATGGCGATTCAATGAGAACTTGGCGAAATCTTGGCGGTAGAGCCAAGTTGGCATAATTTTTGGCGACCATTTTGGCGAGTTTGGAACCCTCTGGAATCTTCTAGAAAGTAGTGGATCTCTCCACTAATGTCACGCTCAATGACACGAGCGATAAAATTTCTGGAAGTTTCTGTCGCGCCTATAAATGAAAATGCTCGCCGGAACGGTGGTCAGTCTGATTTTAACCAGCGAATAGTGAGGATTGTTTTGAATAGCGATTAGCTCGGCTGTGCTTGTGAATAATCTTTTACATACGTGTATTTTAAACACGGATAATTGTGTTTGATTGCTGTTAAAGGTGTGAAGACCTTCGGGGATTTACTCTGTGAATATTGCCACTGAATAAATTCGCATCGCTCTTGAAGAACTGTTTATTTTCTTTGTGATTGTTTTGCATAAAATCTTCGAGCCCGGATTTACGTAACAATAGGAAAAAACAATCAGGAAACCGATTAGGATCAGGTAAGGCATGCTCAATACGAGGGGTGGCGCAAAAAAACGAGACTAAGTGCGTAGCTTGAAAAAAGAGTGGAGTGGGCAACAACTGTTTTTGTGGCGTCATCCTACACACCTCCTCTGTCCATGAGGCCAGTTTCGACTCAACCAATCACGCCAGTTGGGAGCATTGCGTCATTGAGTGAACTTGTGCAAATACATTCTGCCCGAAAAAAACCACAAACAGTGAAGCAACATCCAGATTCTTGTGAAACTTAAGAAATCAGCCTCGAGGCCTTTGGAGATAAAAGTTTGTCGTGTGCACGTGTGTTTGAATGGCATAAGCGGTTTTCAGGGAGAAGGAGCAGTGTGGAAGATGATGAACGTGATGGGAGCCCAATGTCAGCGATTACAGACCAAAACATTGCCAAAGTTCATGATGTGATCCGGGGTGACTGATGATTAACTGTTCCTGCAGTGGGGCGGAGGTGGTTAACTAGGATATGGAAGCTGTTCGTGGCAAAAATAAGGCGGAAGGAAGGGGAAGCCACAGTTGTGGAGTGATTGATGGCTGTTGCACCAGGACAAATCACCCGCTCAGACAGCCCTATCTGTCATGCAGTTTCTGAACAGTGAGTGAGTGAGTGAATATTAACGTCGCACTGATCAGCTACATGAGGGCTTTTGGCGACGGACCACGTAATTTTGAACCATGGTCAAGTGACGTGGATGACACTTGAGCTGGCACCCCTGTCCTAACTACCACACCAACGGGAGGAAGTTTCAGATCTCGCCAGATTTAGTGTGCATTTCTGCCCTACACGGTGGGTCTTTAGTGGTACTGGGGTCGAACTCATGACATGCCTGCCATGATCCGATACCTTGACCACTGGGCTACCGCAGCCCCAGTTTCTGACCAGAAAAAGTTACTGTGGTGAGGCACCCTCCTTATTCACCTGATTTGGCTCCATGCGACTTTTTTATTTCTTACAGTTAGATCTTGCTTAAAGGTAGCCCATTTTACCTCTGTTGAAGGGGTTCAGGAAAAAAAATTGGAGGCTCTACTAAAGGGCCTTCCAAAAACCTCGTTCCAGAACTGTTACCAGCAACGGCAGTACCGAACGCAGAAATATGTTAATGCTGAAGAGGATTACTTTGAAGGTGATACTGTCATGGGGAATTGATTCTGTAACTATAATGATTTATTGGACTTGTCTCGTTTTTTTAGTCGCATCTTGTATGCAATATGACGCAATTAGCTAGTGCCAGAAGAATATAAAACACTCAGGAGGTGTACTCTCAATATTTCTATTAAACGACACCGAGTTGAAGCCTTAGTGTGATATGTTTGTAAGGCAATTCTGTAGACGATATCAGGGTCATGTTTTAACCGAGGTTGATTCTTTGGGAAGATGGTGGAAGGTAGAAGTGTAACTAGTAAGACTGTGTAGCTCGGGATTGCCCACACCATCTTTTTACGAATTTGGAAGCATTTTAAACTGCAGGAACAGCTGTCCGAGGATTCAGTAGGGATCATACACTAGCAACCACGGTGATGGAGAATCGATATACTGTCCTACCAGTAAAAGATACTGACGGTAGACAGCGGGTTGCAGTACACATGTAATAGACTAATGGATATCTCACCATGACCAGGATGCTACACAACGTTGGCCTATTTGTTCAACGATTAGTACGGTTTGAACCATTAACATTTCTTCACCAAAGATGGTGTTTCTGTACAGATTAGATGTAGATAAATCACACAACAATGAGGTACAGCAGACTTTTCTGAGGAGAGTAGATATTGTCTGACTAACGATTCTGACTGATATACATATGGAGAGAGCGGGTAACATGCAATAACTCTTCCAACATCGAAAGTTACCAATTTAGTCTTAGCTTTCTCATTTGAAGAGGTATCATGCTATGTACTCCGAAGCATCCAGTTAAACTAGGTAATTAGGTATCTCCTAAACAGGTTCAGTCACTTGTGCTTGCTATTATTCAGATGTTTTCTTTTCATTCTTTGTTCTTTAGAAATGCTATGTTATCTCAGGTCTTCTTTATCCACGACAACGTTACACCTCATATTTTTGAGAAAAGATATATCAATATAAGATACTTTTTTACTAGGAAAAATATTCCAAGTTTAAATCCTATTTTTCTAGGTAAAATGAAAATAGATGTTAAAAAAATTTAATGTATTGAAGGTTAATTCTCTTTCTGTAGAAAAACATGATTGATATTTTAGTGTATGTCAATGGGTTAGTATTAGGGAATTATTTATTCTAATACTGAAGCAGCCTTTTTTTATTAGGAGCTATGTTATTGACGCTTTTCAGTGCTATTTTATCTCAAAGGTTATAATGGATTTTTAATCCTGACTAATTTATGTACCGAGAACATTGTTAAAGTACTCTAACTCTATAGTACAGTGTAGTACTTATATTTCGCAACAAGTTACTATTATTTACTTTGTCAGCGTCAGGCAATTTGGCTGAGCATAGGAGGTGATCTATAATAATCCAGAAAATAATTGATTATGTGGATGAATTCTTTAGATTTTGTAGGGCATGCGTGTCATAATCCACGATAAAAAAGAAACATTCAAAAAATGCGTTTGCCCAAAATGTCACCAGTTTATTCATTTATTCATAGCTCTTGATTGACTAAACCAGTCTGAACAACATCCCTAATTTGATAAAGGGTTTGAACACACACAAGTAAACAGTGTGTTTCTGCCCATGCAATAGATAGCTTTCATTGGAGATGACATTGATAGATTGGAGCCTTCGACTTAAGTCTAAGATTATCATCGAGACAAAAAACACGCTCCCTTACGGAAAAGAGTTCGCTTTCTCTTCTTTTATGACAGACTAGAAATCTTTTGTGGAATCCTCGTGTAAATAATCTCCGAAGGCGGCAGAGACACGTTGAAAGTAAACACGCTTTCCGCTTATCTCAAAGAACATGTTCGATGAAATCGCTCCGTTTAATGGAGCCATTTCTCTCCTTTTCCAGGGAACATTTCTGCTTGGTGGTCGCAGAAACATTCCAGAAACACTTCTTTTTTTTTCTCCTGCTGCTTGTTTTGCTTTCGTCATATGAGCTGTGCAGATGACTAATTGTAGTCGTTTCAGTTGAAAGGAGAAGACTAGTTATCGGTATGAAAGGTAACGGTTTCAAAGATCGACTGAGAATGTAATGATGGGGCGTATCGCTAATGAATACATTTACAAAGTTAGTGTTTCGGATTAGTTATTTTGTTTATTGTTTTGTTCAATGCTTATTTTTTTTCCAAATAACTGTGCGTTATTAAAAATAAATATTTATAAAAGTTAAAGAAAAAAAATAATGGCTTCGAGTTCTTAGTATAAGATCAAGGGTTCCAGTGTCTCATTAGTTTTGTCGTGGACATAAATTACTCACGAATGCAAAAATGATTTTTTTTTTAAATTACCAAATATAAAGTGAAGATGTTTATTTGTAATGTACTTCAAATAAAGTTACAGAAATTTATCTAACAGAATGCAAATAAATAAATAAGTAATACAAAAAAAAATTAAATCAATTCTTATACTTAGGTCAACAAAGAAAAATTTTATTTTAGTTTTACTTTTTATTCAATAGTTACTATTAATATAAATATGTATATGCATATGCCAGAATCACAATATTAAGTGACAAAATAGAAAGCGATTTTCCTTGTTCCTTTATTATATAGTGTAGGACTATTTTTGTTTGTTTGTTACTATTTATTCATTAATTAAATTTAATTAATCTAATTAACTAGTATAGTAAAAAAGAAATCACACACACACACATTGTCAGAAATTAGGCCATCCCAGGTGGGATTCAATGGCCGCGGTAGCCGAGTGGTATAGGTATCGGATCGTGGCTTGCCCTGTCACGAGTTCGAGCCCAGTACCACTAAAGACCCGCCGTGTAGGGCAGCGATGCACGTTAAATCTGTCGAGAGCTGAAACGTCTTCCCGTTTGTGTGGTGTGGAAGTCAGGAGAGGGGGGTGCCAGCTCAGGTGTCATCCACGTCACTTGACCCTGGTTCAAAATTACGTGGTCCGTTGCCAAAAGCCCTCGTGTAGCTGAACAGTGCGACGTTAATATTCAATCAATCAATCAACCCAGGTGGGATTCGAACCCACGATCTTTGGATTAGAAATTCAACGCGTTATCCAACAACGCTACAGGACGACAACGAGCGATATAATACCGCTGGACTATCATTTTTGTTTGTTACTATTTATTCATTTTTAATTAAATTAATGAATTAATATTTGAAAAAATGTATCAACATCAAGTGTCATCCACTACAAGTTTAGAAAATTGTATTTGAACTTGAGTGGATGAATAGAAAATATTTTATTAGCGATTGAAAACTTGAACAATATATATATATAGGAAGAGTGTGAACTAATAGTAGGAATTCAAAAAAAAATCAACATGAGTGAGAGAGAGAATAAACAATGAAGTGTAAAACCATTATTTGAGCATAACCTTGCATAAGTATTATATACATAAAAACTACAGAAGTTAGCTCTTTTTTAAATAGGGGAAAAAGGAAACCCTGCAGCGACAACTACATTATTGCTTCAGAGTAAAACTCCACGTGTGAAAGTGAATTTTTTTCCAAAAAGTGCTTCGTTGATTATTTAGTTGTTATAAATTGTTATATGTGAGCAAATTGTTGGTGAAAGTTTTAAGCAAATAAATCGTAAAAAAAGCAAAATATGAAAAGAGAGTGCAACATTTGTTAATAAATTCACAAATAAAGGGAAAAAAACCTATTGATTTGAATATTGTTGAAGCAGTTAAAACAAGGAAAGTTATTTCTTTAAGGATAAGGATGCAAATAATTTCTTAGTTGACCTGCAATATATAAGCAACATTACCATTTAAACAGCTTGCCCAAACACGGGGAATGCACAACTACTTTTATGAGGGAGTATTATATTTTAAAAAACAGGTAGATGAGAAAGCTCCCACGAGTAATCTTTGTGCCACAAATTAAAAATTTTGGTGTATGCGAGGGGCTTGAACCTCTAAACCTCACCCTAGAGCATACCACTGAATTATACAAAAACACGTTATTAACATGTGATGGGAGGCCAGGAATTGTTCATTGCTTTAGAAATTTTCCCTTGCTTTCTAGAAGTTTTTATATGAGTCCCCCTTGACCGGACGTGGCGAAATTCCTTTGGTGGGAAGTGTCAAAGTATTCCCGCGCTTTTCTGAGTTCAGTGAACGCATTAATTTCTCGACATGTAGAATTGCGTGGGGAGTTTTGTTCAATTAGATGCGAAATTCAGGGGACGACAAATAGCCCGGCTCCAGGATTTTGGAGTGATGGAGTGCAGAATAAAAGGTAACGCACCCGAATTTTCACCAGAGGCTCTCTCCCAAAATTACAGCACTCAGATGAACCAAGCATCGCTAAAATCGCCAACGGGACTGCCCGGAGCCACCATGCACTCCTTTCCTCAAAAAGCCAAGTTCCTTCCATTAATCTTTTATTTGTAAAACCTACATATTTACTTGTGCATAAAATAAATTTAACTTAAAAGTAAAGAATCGTTTCGTGAGAATTCTTTATTTTATTTAACTTTGGTCATGATGCGATTTACAATCATCGAACCTGGGTTTCTTAAACAAATAATTTCACCATAACCTCGCTTCACATGTTAATAAAAAAAATGTTAAACATGTTAAATGAGCTTATGGCAGCGTTTCTCAAACTTTGGGGCACACCCCCTAAGGGGGTGATACTCTACGTGAGGAGTGCGAGCATGACGGAAGTAAAAGATTATGTAAAAGTATTATTAATTTACTAAAAGGAAGCAAAATAAAATACATTCTTACGTAATAAAAAATAAAATACACATTTACACTGATAAAATACACTTATAAATGTATCAGTACTGCATAATGTATTTAATAAGCAATTTAACAATACTAAGTTAAGAAAAAGTTTAATAATTATCAGTGGGCTAACAGACAGAATCAGGGCACCCCTACGAAGTCAGGGGTTGGGCCTCAAACCATGCTTGGTGTCAGTTAGGCTTTGGCTCCAAAAAATCTTGCCACTTTGCGCCCCTCAGTGACGCCATGGGCTTGTCATATATAAAACTATATGCAAAATTTAATACTTATCTTCATAATTTGTATGGTTTATGATTAAAGTCGTATTGAAATTTTAGCGTCAAAGTGCATTATTATCGAATTCAATACACTGTTATTGTACGGAGATAGGGAAGGGGGGGGACAAGATGAAAATTATTATTCAAAATTGGGTTGAAAATATTGAAAATTTGAGAAACACTGGCTTATGGCAACAAATCTCCAAGCATTAATATCAAATAACGTTTGAGTATCGATTCAAAGTCATGTAGGATTGGTTTTACAAAATATTATTGGTTAATATTATTACACTTGACTAAACAGTATATTAACATACCACACACAGCCTTAACACTTGTATGGCTTCAAAACAAATAAATTAAAGATAAAAAATGGTTTTACGTAAGGAACGGAATGGCATATCCAGGAAGAAGAGAGGAAGAAATTGAAGATGTCATTCGAAAACAGCCGAGAATCGGGGGCGAGGAATCTTTTCAAAGCGTCCGTAAAGTAACTGAATCTGAAAATACCAAACAAGACAAAAGGGTAAAGAATGTGCTTAATGATGCGCAGGAAAAAAAAAGAGGCAAATTGTTTCTTTGACTATAAAACGAAATCTCTTTCAGCATTTTTTCCTTTCATCGGTTTGGAAAAGATCAAAAGCTAAAGTTGCAATATCGAGGAATATTTTGGCCATGGTGGAGTTTTTTTTTATCATTTTTTTGGCACAAGGGTTTCCTGTTTTATTTGGATATTTTTTATCTTTTACCACGCCAGAGTATCTTTTTTTTTCTTGTGCTACTTTTTAGAGCTGTGCGGGCTGTTCTGAGAAGATAGCAGGGGAAAGAATACAAGTTTTTATACTTATTGGAGAATTCTAATCCAGATATAAATGTATTGATATGCATTTTGAAGGTAATGATAAAACCATATTGTTACAGCGGCCGGAAAGCATTTTAATCTTAAAATTAAAAGTATCAGACGCATGTTTCAAATCAACAAACAAAAGAAGCAAATATATTTGCGGAAATTATAAGTTAAAAAAAATCTTTATATAACTTTGTATAATCTTTGTATAGATTTTTCTGAAAAGTACACACAGAATGCATGAATGGTTTTGCTATAAAAATAAGAATATCGTGCATCATGAACATAGAAGTATAAATAAATAAATAAAGTACATTAGGCGTACATGACTGCTCATTTCTCGATACCATATCGTTTCTTCGGTTTTTATTGATCACTCTTTATATTATTTTGTTTAATTTTTTTTTTTAAATTTAAAAATAATATCATTTAACTTTTAATATATGTATTTCTATTTGATGTACTTAGGTAATTCATTTAATAGTTTTCACATACCAGCACTCATGTATTTTCATTCGATCTAACTTTGACATCTGAAAATAGGTTTTTAAAGATTCTTAAGCATATTTTATTTTATCCGCTATCTCTATTAAGAGAATAGATTTTCGTAAAACATTTTTGAAAAAGAGACCCTTTTTCATTCATTGTAATGATAATTAAATAGTTATGTAATATTATTTCTTAATAAATTTTAGAGAATCGATATTTCATATATAAAGTTATTTTAATTCTCTAATAATATTACCGTATTTATAATCGAATTTAAGCTACCATCGATTCTAAGCCTTACCTCAAATTCTCAACAAACTTTTGTGAAAAATGAAAAAAAAAAATAGTATATGAAACAGTTTATTGATATCCAATTTTTAAAAAAAATTGAAATAATTTTAAAATGAGAACTAATAAGAAGTGAATAAATTAATTATTTTACCAGTATTGAAAACTTTTAAATACATAAATGAACACGTAATTGTTGTAATTGCACCATCCAACAAATTTTTATTTCATCGATTTTGTGGCGCACCCGATTTTCTGTAGCATTAACATTGAAAAAAAAAAGTGCAGCTTAGATTCGAGTAAATACAGTAATTTTATTGATTGGAACATAAATCATATGCCAGAGAATTTTTTCTTATAGAAGTAATCAAAATTCTATAAAATTTCTCATGGAAAGAAAAATTTACTTCATCGAAATATAATTTAAATCAACACTTTCATCTCTAAAATCTCGATCTATATTCATCTAATATCTAATACGTAATTGTTGTAATTGCCCCATCCAACAAATTTTTATTTCATCGATTTTGTGGCGCACCCGATTTTCTGTAGCATTAACATTGAAAAAAAAAAAGTGCAGCTTAGATTCGAGTAAATACAGTAATTTTATTGATTGGAACATAAATCATATGCCAGAGAATTTTTTCTTATAGAAGTAATCAAAATTCTATAAAATTTCTCATGGAAAGAAAAATTTACTTCATCGAAATATCATTTAAATCAACACTTTCATCTCTAAAATCTCGATCTATATTCATCTAATATCTAATACGTAATTGTTGTAATTGCCCCATCCAACAAATTTTTATTTCATCGATTTTGTGGCGCACCCGATTAGCATTAACATTGAAAAAAAGTGCAGCTTAGATTTAAATACAGTAATTTTATTGATTGGAACATAAATCATATGCCAGAGAATTTTTTCTTATAGAAGTAATCAAAATTCTATAAAATTTCTCATGGAAAGAAAAATTTACTTCATCGAAATATCATTTAAATCAACACTTTCATCTCTAAAATCTCGATCTATATTCATCTAATATCTAATACGTAATTGTTGTAAGCCCCATCCAACAAATTTTTATTTCATCGATTTTGTGGCGCACCCGATTTTCTGTAGCATTAACATTGAGTGCAGCTTAGATTCGAGTAAATACAGTAATTTTATTGATTGGAACATAAATCATATGCCAGAGAATTTTTTTCTTATAGAAGTAATCAAAATTCTATAAAATTTCTCATGGAAAGAAAAATTTACTTCATCGAAATATCATTTAAATCAACACTTTCATCTCTAAAATCTCTCGATCTATATTCATCTATAAGTTCGTTTTCTTGAAACTCGTAAATAGAGAATTTCATTCTCAATTTATGACACAAAGATATTTTTTGATGAGTTTTTTTAATGCTTTACGAAAAGGTTTTGTTATACG